GTCAGCTAAAGTAAATAGGAATTCTACTTTTTCATCTCTTTGCTTGTGTTCCCCTGGCTTGGGAATGAAATGCAAAGGACTTTGGTGGGGTGGTGAGTGATTTGGCCAAAGGAATGAATGTTTGTGAGGCTCTCTCTCTCTCTTTCTCTTCATCAGATAGCTCTGTGCGTGCTCTCTCCCCCTTCTTTGGCATCTCTCTCTTTTGGGGCTTCGCCCAGTGGTATTTCTGCTCTGCCTTTTTTCCAAATCACCCCTCCTGCAGCGCTCTCTTTGCATCCATCACGCTGTGTCCTTCTCACACCAGAGGCATTTGTTTCCTTTGATACCTCACCCTCTCCTCTTTCCCCCTACCAACCTCTGCGCAGCTCTGATCTGCTCCAGCACTCATTTGCCTTCCATTTACCTTCTTTTTCACCTCATCTTATTTTTCAATTCCTCCCTCCCCCCACTTTACCATTATATTAAATTCTTATTGCTTTTTTGGTTGACCTCTTTAGGAATATTCTATCATTTCTCTCTCTCTTTCCTTCGGTATCACTATTAGATCGTTTTTTCATTCTTCTAGTTTTTCATTAATCGCCCTTCTCTGCCCCTCATTCCGCATGGATTTTATTCCCTTCTTTTGCAGGTTCCTCACAGCATGCATTTCTCTACCCCACGCATTTACTGCACTCAGCCTCTCCTTCCTTTCTGTAACTCTGTTCACCTCTGAAATCTTCCATCTTCTGTTCATATATACCTCCTCTTTTTACCCTTCTAAGCTCCTGAGGTCTGGAAAAACAAAGATGGTCTTAAAACAAGGTAAACTCCCCAGACTCTTTATCCACCTTTCCCTTTCTTTAGGCTAAATGAACCTGTCTCCTTGCATAAGATAGCTTCTGCCACACTACTGTAAACTGCCTCAGAAAGAAATCATGCTGAATCCAAATATGATAATATAGGAATGCAGGAAGAAGACCAACTGGCAAGTGAAGAAGCCACTAGAATAAACTGAAGGATGAGGGGCAACCAAGCATGGTGGAGCTCAGAGTCCTATAGAATGTTCCCTTCCAAAATCATAGTTGACAGTTCATGGCATAATGATCCTGACTGATGAAGGGGTTATATACCCCTAGAAGCCCATTAAATTGATTTCTTGGCCTGTTTATGTGCCTTCACAAACCATACTCCCAACCTCTCCCAGCCCCTTGCTTAGGTCCCTTCTGCGGCTGGGGTTAAAATGCTGGTTGAGAGGGATAAATAAGGGATAAAAGGAACTTAGGGTAACCAAGGAGAAAGGTAGGAAGACAGAAGATTATGGAAACAAAAGGGAAGAATAGGCAAGGGAGATCATGGGAGACAGGGATGGGGGAAAAAAGGTGAAATAAAATGGGGAAATGAAAAATATACAATGGTAAAGTGAGTGTAGGGAGGAAAATCAAATCGGCAAGGAAGAGGTTTGTGGTGGGAGGCTCCAGGAGAGGTAAATGACTCACAAGAGACCAGAGGTGAGGTCCTGGTCGGGGAGAAAGGCACATGGCAAAGGGGATACTCAACAATGCTAGGAAGTTCCAAAGCCTCCCATGTGAAGGTGGAAGTGGAGGCTGTCCTGGCCGTGCTGAAAGAGCACTGGAGTCCTTAGGAGAGACATATTTGCTCTATCCTCTGACTCTTCCAAGCCCGGGACCAGTGACTACCACAATCATGACTGATAAGCAAACTCCAAAGTAGCCTAAAAAGGCTGGAGAAATCTATGAGGACCCTGAGGGAGAGGGCATGGAGTCCTAGATGGGCAGAACAGTCAGTCAGCCAAGGCATGACACAGTGACAGGAACACACAGCGAGAGGATCACTTGGACGGGAAGAATCACATGTGGAGACAGTGACATACAGACCCAGAGACGGATGAGTGGAGAGAATGAATGAGGTAAAGAGTAGCAAAATCGAGAGGCAGGGACACATGGACAGAGATCAGCGGGGCTACAGGCACAGCGAGACGCGTGGTCAAGTGCTCAAAAAATGATAGGGCGACTCAGAGGTGCAGACAGAGCGTATGGAGACTTGCGGGGCCAGGAGAGACACGCTTCGCCTTGAATGGAGCAGTGGCCTCCCCTCACCTCGCACCTTTCCAAAAACACAAAAATAAAAACAAACAAACAAAAAGAACTCAACTTCAGGCGAAAATGGAGATCGAAGATCAAGGGTATCCACGTCTCCTCCCACCCACCCCAACCCCCAGCGCATCAGACCGCCCGCCTGTCGCGGTTTCTCCCCCATCCCGCGGCCGGCGGGGGGCCGCCGAGACCCAGGCCCCTCGGGCTGACATCTCCGAGCCCTCGCACTCACCCGGCCTCCCCTTCCCTTCGGGACCCCAGCTCCCCGCACAGCTCGGCGCGGTCCGTCTAGGTTCTCGTTACCCTCCGTCTGTCCGGCTGGTTCCCGGTCCAGCCTCGATGCCTTTCCATTCCCGGTCTCTCCTCCACCCCTGCATCTCTCTCTTCCTCCATCCCCACTCGCACGCCCTCTCCCTCCCACACCCCTGCCCCTCCTCCTCCTCAGGCTCTCGGTCTGTCGGTCTGTCCGTCCGTGTCCCCTCCCCCAGCCCTTTCCCCGTCCCTCTCCGTGCCCTCCAGCGGCAGTCTCCAAGCGCCTCCTCTCCCCTCCGTCTCGAGCTTCCAAAGAGCAAGGAAGGGAAGAAGAGAGAGAGGGAGAGGAGAAAAAAAAAAAAACAACCCAGCAGCATCGGAAATCGATGCACTTACACCTCAGCTGGAAGCAGGGACGGGAGTCGAACCACGGCCGCCGAGCAGCGCGAGGCGGGGAGGGGAGGGGGCGGCTCTTGGAAGGGACTTCTCCGATGTGTTGATTCCTTTTTTTTCCCCTCCTCCTCCCTCCCTCCAGCGCTCACTCCGGGGCGTCGGGGACGGAGATGGAAAAAATAAATAAATAAATTCACGGCGGTAAGGGAAGTGAAGGAAAATAATCAATGCTATTTGGCTGCGGCTGAAGTGTTTTCCCGGCTTCGTGAGGGGGTTTCCATTGATTCACCCAGGGCACGCGCTCGCTCCCTGCCTCCTCCTCCTCCTCCTCCTCGCCCTCCTCCTCCTCCTTCTCCTCCTCCTCCTCGCCCTTACTCCTCCGCCTCATTCACTGGCTGGAGCCGAGGCGTCCCACACAATGGAATAATCAATACCCAGGCGCCCGGGGCGGCCCCACTGAGCAGGTGCAGCGGCCCGCCCGCCGCGGTGAATGCCGGGAGTTGTAGTCTTCCCCCCCACCACCATCCAGCCCGCGCTCGCTCCCGCGCCGGCTCCAGCTGCCGAATCCGCAGGCCTTGCTGGACCGTGGGCGGGACTCTAGGCTCCAGGGTAAGGCAGGCCCGTGGGCCGGGCTACCTGCTCGACTCTGGCGCTAGGTTCAAGCTGGTGCCTGTAAAAAGGCCAGGTTCCTTTAAACTCTTTCTAGTCTTCTCTTCCTACAGAAACCATACGTGGCGTGTTTTAAATTAGCTCTAGAGAAAGCCCTGGCTTCTACTAGCTTCCAGATCCACCTGAAGCCTCTTTCCACTCCCTTCTTCCTGACTTATTAGTTCCTTCCCTTTTAACTGGGTACTAGAACCTTCTCTTCCACAGCAATTACCTTGAAGTCTCTGAGAGCTTTCTTTCCTCCACACGGTTACAGAGCCCCCAGAATTGTGTGGGGGGAGGAGAAGCGCCATGTCTGTACAGCAGTGTCCTCCCCGCAGTGCTTACCATGTGTCATGTGTTTTTCAGAAACATACTAGGGAGAGGACAGGTGTTGAGAACCTGGCACTTCTCGCCAATTATAGGGAACCCAGAAGTTGGTAAGAGCCACTGTTCCTCAGCAAGCTATCATGCCTAGAGACTCAGACATATAGATGACTCCTCCAGGTAACAGTAGTCCTCAGGAGTAAGGAGGTGAAGGAGCCTTCTCTATTTTGTCTCCCAAAGCAGTCAAAGGGCCACTCCCATGTTTTCCTGTATTTTAAATGACCGCGAGTAATGCTCCTACTCCTGACAAAGCCGGCTCAGGGGCCATTGGAAACTCAGTGACAAACTCTTTGATCTGGTGCTCAAGGCCTTTTCCAACCTGCTTAACTGTATTTTTAGCTTCATCTCCCTTCCACACTGACCATATACTCTCCAGCTTCTGGGCCTTTGCTCATGCTTTTCCTGTCTCCATCTGAGACTCCAGCTGTTGAAATCCTAACATGTCTTTAGTTCCCACCTAAAATATCACTTCCTTCTCCAACATAAAGTTTCCCACCTAACCTTACTCTGAACATTCATGCCAGGATACATTAAATCCCCTCTAATACTCCAGAGTAGCTAAACTGGTCTTAGTTATGCTTTCTTTAGCTCATTGCCAGTGGCCTGCATTTAGAGGGCCACCATCATAATCAATAAAGTATCTGCTGGACAGTGAATGAATGGCTTGTATTCTAGGCCCATCAGCTTACGGAGTGAGGGATTTGGAGACGGGGCTGGGCCTCAGCTCCTTCCACCCTACTCTCCCCACCTTCCTAGTTCAACTTTTAGAGTCTCGCTGGCACTAATCGCAGCTTTCTTGTCACCATAGCGACAGGGCGGTGGGGAGGAGGAGAAAGCAAAGTCTCCCTTTGGAACTACATTTCCCATCATGCACCCGGGCCCCAGGGTGCCAGGCTCAGCCTGAGACCTGAGACCCGGGCTGACCCCCGGGAGCCGAGAAAGGTCGGGCATGAGGAGCAGAGCACAGGATGACCTCACTCCCTGCCAACTGCAGAGGTCGAGGCCCCTTAACACCTAGCAGGCCCTTGGGCCCCGGGTCTGCCGTGGCACCGCCACATCGGGCCTAATATGGCCGCTCGCGCTGGGACCGGTCGGGTGCGCAGAGAACGGGACCGAAGTCCCGGGCTAGGGACTGTTCCCGGCCTTCCTCGCGGGCGTGGCGTGTGTGGCGTGGGCTCCCATCCCCCATCTTCAGGTCCCGCGAGAGGGAGTCCGGGCTTTGAGGTGAGACCCCAAGGTTCCGCCGGCCCGTGCTGTGGCTGGGGAGGGTTAGGTTGGCCGGGGTCATCCCGCACAGTGAGCCACCGGCCTCCGGGATAGCAAGCCGTACAGGGGAGCGTTAAAAGAACACCTGCCACGCGGCCTGCTTTCGAGGGAGCCCTTTGGATTGAGGACATCAGCGGTAGAAGGGATATAACGAGACCTGTCACTATCGCAGGCCGTAAAACACCAGAGGCGGGGCCATCCACAGAGGCAGGGAGAAAGGGCTGTAGCACCTACAGAGCTGTGAACAGTGTGGATGCCTCATAAGTTTTTAGAGGCGGGTGTGTGTGTGGAGGGTGTGCTGAGCTGTCCCTCTGCAAAGCTGAGCATCTTTAGGATCTCAGCAAATGTTTGTTGATTGATTTATTATTGCAGGTAGTATGGCTCAGGGCCTGATTGAGGTGGAGCGAAAGTTCATTCCTGGGCCTGGCACAGAGGAACGGTTGCTGGAGTTGGGGGGCACCCTGGAGCATCAGGTCACCTTCCGAGACAGCTACTATGACACCCCTGAGCTGAGCCTCATGCGGACTGACCACTGGCTGCGGCAGCGAGAGAGTAGTGGATGGGAGCTCAAATGTCCTGGAGCAGCAGGTGTCTCGGGACTCCATACTGAGTACCTGGAACTCACAGCTGAGCCCGCAATTGTGGCCAAGCTCTGTGAGGTGTTGGGCGCTGAGGTCCTGGGGGCTGGAGGTGTGGCTGCTGTGCTGAGCCCACTGGGGCTGCAGGAAGTAGCTAGTTTTGTGACTAAGCGTAGTGCCTGGAAACTGGTGCTATCGAGAGCAGATGAAGAGGAACTGCTGCTCAGGGTGGACATGGATACAGCTGACTTTGGCTACGCTGTGGGTGAGGTCGAGGTCATGGTGCACCAGGAGGCTGAAGTCCCAGCTGCTGTAGAGAAGATCAACAAGCTCAGCAGCATGCTTGGTGAGGGACACAGGTCCTTCTCTGCTTTCCCTGTTCCTCTTCTGTGTGTACCCATGGGTCAGTTAGCGGGGAGGGTCTTGGGGTTCTCTAATGGGAATTGTTTTAATAATTTTTTGGAGGACTCAGTTTGCTTAAAGCTCTATCAAATCCTCTTTCCGTTTATAATACCTCTCTAACCTGGATTTTAGCCTTCTTTCTATAATCTATCCCATTGTCTCATTTAGTTCTCATACTTCTAGCCACTCCAAGTGTCCTTCAGTTCCATGTGCCAATTCTCTGCTTTAGTCCGATTCATCTTTCCTTCCCCTAACTCCTATCTCATTTTTACACCTAGGTCATTTGTCTGTTAGCTTTGAGGAAAAGGCAAGAATGTTGTATTTATGGAACAGACAGCGGGGCAAGCACTGGCAGTTTTTTCTGTTCCCAAGCTTACCTCCCTTGTAGACAGTTCATTCTCATAAATATGGCATTGTGCATCCCATGGGACCTTACATCCCTGGGATGCTGTTCTCACCTCCTTAGCAAACATAGAGTTCCCTGCTGTATGCCCAGCATGCTGCTAACAATAAGACACTGGCTTATCGTGGCTCCATACTACATAGAGACTAGAATTCTATGTGAATCCTACCCCATGGCTATAGCTGCTGCTTCTTTCTACATCCCTGTTTCTTTCTGTGTGCATCTCTGCATGTGCTTCATTACCAAGCTAATGAGCTTTGGCCTGCCTAGATGGGCTTTAATCTTGATTGGGGGACAGGAGCAATAACTGAAATGAGTCAATATTCAGGCACCCTCTGTCTTCATGGCGCCTGAGTGCCTCTTCACCATTTCTCTTTGCTAGAGAGGCTCATACTTGGCTTTCTAGCCCTACTCCTGTCTAGAGTGGTCCTTTTAGGCCCTACTTCCATAGGCCAGTCAGGGAGTGGGCTGGTGGGTTCCACAAGCTGGTTAGATGGTGTTCAGAATCCCAGTGCTGCCTTGGAAACAACTTTGGGGTCTGGCTTTGTGGGCGGAGGGAGTAGAATTAAAGCATTCGCAGCTCTGTCTGGCTCCCTTCTCATTCTCCTTTTGCCTACAGGTGTGCTGGCACAGGAGGTGGCACCTGCCAAGCTGATTGTGTACCTACAGCGCTTCCGGCCTCAAGACTATCAGCGCCTGCTAGAAGTGCACAGCTCCAGAGAGAAGCCACAGGGGACTAAAGATGCTGATAGTAGCCTGGACTAGGGTGTCACATCTTCCATGACAGGGAAGAGAGTTCTGGGACTAATGGGGTTCATTCCTTTGCTCACTGTGCCTTTTCCCCAGGCTTTCCTCCCCAGAGTGAGTCTTCTCTCACCAGCTCTGCCTGTTCCTTCACCCTACCCTCAGTTATCCTTTGTTGAGCCCTCCCAGACTGCCTCCTCTCTCTCATCAGTCAGATGCAATCTGTGGGCCGCCCCTCTCCCCTGGCCGCTAAGCAGCCTCCATTGATTTCCGCTCGTGTTTATAGGATTTCCACTTAGCCGTGATCAGTAGTTAAGCACAGGAAAATCCCTTGCCACCCCCCCTCCCTTGGTCGATGCCATTGATTCTGCCAGCGGCTCCTAAACTGCCTTACAGCTGAGTTAGAGATGAGGGGAGGCAGCAGGGATTTCCCTGCCTGGGGGTGTGGGGAATAGCGCAGGTAGGTAGGAAATGGGTGGGATTTTTTGTTGGAAATCTAGAAATTCTGGTTTGATTTTGCCACTGTGCCCTACTCTAGACCAGAGGGTAGAGCGCCTCCTGTGGAAGTTTGGGGCAAATCTGCTCCTCAGCCTGGAGAGGGGTAGAAAACCCTCCTTTGTTGAAACAGGTTCCTAAGGCTGAGGGGGAAGATACATACTTGCTTTTTAGACGTTTCCCTTGCTGTTATTCATGTTTTCTACCTCAAATATACACAAATATGGCTTCCCCCGTAGGCTTTATTGGGCTTTCCTTATTTGCGGGGGAGGGGGACAGGCCCCCATAGTTTTTGCAGTGGCAAGCAAAGGACCAGAGTGCCACCTGCTGGTAGTCTTCAGATGTAGGTTCCAAGTAGCCAGGGCCCCAGGGGTTTGGGACACAGGAGGATTTCAGGCTGAGTGGAGTCTGAGTTACTGCCATGTTTCCACAGGCAAGTTGTTCACCTCAAAGATCTCCTGCACCGACTGGCCGAAGTGGTTGTAAGTGAGGCGCAGCTTTAGCCTCAACGGGGCCTAGAAATAGGAGAGTGGATACCAGGGTTAGCACCAATGCCTTCTCCCTTTTTTGGGTCTTATCCACAGGGGGTTCCTGGAGCTCACCTTGGTAGGATTGAGGATTCTGAGGAGCTGGGTCATTGGAAGGCCACCCTGAGCTGGAACTGTGTTTCCACTGGGGGCCTGTAACTGCAGCTGGAAACTCTGAACAAGGAGGTTGGGCAGAGCACAGTATATAAGGCAGCTAACTGAGTTCAGGCAACTTCTGCACATCCAAAAGTTTCAAACCCTCTTTCCATAACTCTCCAAGTGCTTTTCTCTGCAAACCACTCCCTTCTCATCTCATTCTCCCACCCACTTCCTCTACTTAGTAGCCTTTTCTCCTGAAGTGCCCAGGCCACTTCTGAACCCTGGTCTTCCACAAACCTTGGGCACAGCGGCCTGGCAGATGAAATGGGTGACATCACCCTTTGAGGCGTTGGTAGCGGTGACAGTGATTAAGAGCAAAGCAGGGGTTCCAGGGGGTCGAACAAAAGACAGAATTAGCTGTAGTCCTTCACGCTCAAACACTTTGAGATTTGGGATGGGAGCTAGAGTAGGGAGAGAGACTCACTGTATGGGCTGAAGATAACGAGTTCATTCAACAAAAATTAAGTGAGCACCCATTGGGTGTGGAGCACTGTTTGAGATACTAGTGACAAAGTGGACAAGAAGATGAGGTCCCTGTTGGAGCTCACAGTCTAGTTGGGGGACAGAATAAGAAAAGCAAGATAATGACAGACTGTAACTGGTGCTAGAGGGGAATAAACTAGGCCAGAATAACTGAGAGGAACTAACTAAAATAGGAGTGGTAGGGGAAGCATCTAACATTTTACCTGAGGTCTAAAGAGTGAGAATAAGCCAGTCATTTGATGTGCTAGGGAAAAAATATTGCATGTAAGAAGAACATGAATTGCTAAGGGCTTGAGGTGAGAGGGTCTGAGGAACTGAGAGGGAACCACAGGAGTGGGTTGTAGGAAAGTATATGAGATGGGCTGGGGAGAAAGCAGGGCCTGCAGGCCAGGGTAAGATGTCTGGAACAAAGGGAAGAAGATACTGAAGAGTGTCCAGGAGGGGAATTTGTCATCGAATGAACACTTTTCCCTACTAAGATGGGGATTTGATGTGGAGCACACAGCAAAGAGGGCACCTGAACCTCAGTCCTTGGGAAAGAAGAGGGAACACATTTCCATCTCCCCCAACTTCTCTAAGACATCTTCCCTTTGCTGAGGCTTACCCGGGACTGTAGGAGCACAGGGGGAGTCAAGAAGTTGTATTAAAGTGCCTTCTGTGGAGGGATCCAGAGGGGGAATCTTCTGGGCATCCCCAGAAGTGCCATCCAGGAGATCTAACAGATCCAAGAGCTTTGAGGCCTGGGGGAAAGGGCAGAAGGACCAGGGCTGGGTATGGAAGCCTGACCAAGTCTTCTTCTCCCTGGGGCTTCTGGCCTCCTCACCTGGGGCTCTGTGGTGACAGGGGATGCTTCCAAAAGCTGGGCTGCTGCTTTGCTTTCCTTTGCTTCCTCATCAACCTGAGGGCCACCTCGCTCCATAAGAGGCATCTTTTCTAGGATGGCAGCCCTGAGAATGGAATGCAAGTGTGTCCCTCTGGGTGGACCCTGGGCTTTTTACAAGAGGCATGTGGGAGGAGGAGTTAAGAACACAGCCCTGGGCACATGGTGGGTTGAAGTGCCCCTCTGGTTTCCTAAGATGGCACACTGTTGCTGGTTTTCAGATAAGCAGGGCTGGAAACCAGCTTAGCTTCAGTGAACTCTGAGTGGGGAGGCTCTGACTGGATGGGTAGGACACAGTGAGGTTGAGTCCCTTGTACCCAGAAAGGGACACTGGGGAGAGGACATTTGGGGAAAAGGAGGAGTCTGGGTCCTATGCTGTGGTAGAGTGCTAATCGCACCTCATGTGGTCGTACTTCCGGAAGAGTGTGTTGTACTCCACAGCCCGCTGCTGCAGCTCCATGTCCAGGCAGCTCCCGTAGATGGATACCACCTGGCGGATGCGGCTGGGCCACAGGGTGGTGCATGAGTGGGAATGGCAGTCTGCACTCCCTTCAGCTCCAGGATGTGGCAGGGAATGGAGAGGCCCCACAGAGAGATACCCATGATACTTGGCTCAAAAGGAAAAATCCAACATTTGGGGGAGGGGGTATTGGGGTATGTGCCTGGAGAGAAACTCAGAAACATGGGCACAATGAAGGGACATCTCTCTGGAAGCACCAAGAAGAGGGTCTCTGAGAAGGGCTGGGAACACTTCTTACTTGTTGTCCCCCCGAAGCCGGGTGCTGAGCTTCATGAGGGCTGTGAGGGCATATCCTCTGGTGGCTGGAAGGGACATGTGGGACTGAAGCACCCTCTCCAATAATGCCAACACTGCCTCTTCCTCTACCTTTGGAAACAGACAACAGGTAGGGATCCTGGGGCCAGCCTTGCCTCCCTTGACCAGTTCCTCCTTAGGGCACTCTCAGTGCAGGTCTCACCTGAAGGGGCTCAGTTTCCTCACAGTTCCCCTCCAGCAGAAGGTCCCCATATTCTCCGATGCACCAGGCTGCCACTTGCACCAGCGGTTGCTGTGTGGGATAAGAAACATGCTGGGCCAGAGTCTGAGGCTCTTCCTCACTTCCAGACCCTGTGATATCCCTTTAGGCAGTGCAGAGATGGTGGGATTGGAGGAGTGCTGAGAGGGAGGGGCGCTGGAATAGGGAGCAGTTAAGAATTTGTCCCCAGGCTGTCCTGGCTCCTGTGCTTCCACTGCCCTCTGGTGGCCAAGCATCAGAACTACTTGTGGCCCAACCACAAGGGGGTGCTGGGGGATGGCGAAGTGAGAGGATCCCTTCCTTGAGAAGGGGTAGATGGTTTCTACCCACACTACTTAATATGGAAAGGGGGCTAAAGGTGCTGGGTGGCATCTGTTAATTCACTCAACATTCAGGTAGTAATAAAACCTAATACATGCAGAAAGCTGTTATTGATCTCATTAGATCCGCTAGATAGCTCTGGGAGGTGGGCAGGGTAGAAAGCTGCGTGTACTGAGCATAAAGTTAAATTGGTCATTTGTGGTTACACAGCCAGTAGGTATCAGAGCCAGGACAGAAGTACAGGTGTTCTCAGTAAAAATAGGGCTCTCTCTCCTTGAGTGTCTCCACTAAGTAGTTGTGACCTCAAAGGAAAAACAGTTGGGAACCAGGTGTAAGGAGTAAGTGGCCCAGGAAGGGCTGGGAGGTTGGGCAGCCTTGAGCCTGGGTGGTGGGAACATTACCTGGGAGATGTCCTGTGCCAGTGCACTGTAGAGGCGGCGCACAGAGTAAGCATGTAGCTCCTGGGCTCCGCCAATCAGCTGAGTCAGGTTGGCCACTGCATCATCCCGCACATGGGTGCCCGCCTGAAGCAGTGAACGTGGTCAATTCAGCGTGGTGAGCCCTGCCTACTCCTGCCCAGCTCTCAGACCAGCCCCTGCCTCACCGTTGTCAGTACGTGCAGGATGGTGTCTATGTGCCACCGCTTGGTTGGGGCAAACCTAGGAGACATGGCTCTTTAGTCCTGGTACTGACCTTCCCCAGATTCCACCTTCTGCCTCCTGGACACCTGTCACCTTACCTCTCTGCTGCCAGCAGGATGCCTGAGGCACAGTCAGCCCGTAGATCATGGGGGCACGACTCCAGAAAGCCCTGAAGCTCTTGCGTCATGGCTCGCACATTAGAGCTGTTTATCAGAGCCAGGCTCAGTTCCAGGGCCCGCCTGGCAGGAGAAAGACGTGTCTATATGAGGTAGCCCAGGCCCTCCCCTTCCCCAGGCACCTGTCTCCTAGTCCCCTTACTCCAGCTGCTCTGAGCTGGTCCAGGTGCTGGGCCATCTGTCCCGCTCACCGGCTAAGGGAGGCATCAGATTCCCGCAGACATTCCACCACAGTAGACCGGTGCCGCTGCACAGCACTGTGATCAGACTGCACCAGCCGTAGCAATGATGTCAGGGCTACATACCTGGACAGAGTGGGAGAGGTCCCATCACACCATGGCTATCATCCCCCTCTCTGCACCATTCTGCCCTGGGTACAGGGATAAGAGTGAATTGGGAGACTGGAAGGAAGACAGAGGGCCAGGAGCTCAGTGGCACAGCCCAGCCAGACACCTGGGACTTTTACCTAATATTCTTGTCATTGTTGCACAGGAAGCGGCCAAGAATATTGACAGCTAGAACCTACGAGACGCAGAAGTTGGGGACAGTCAGGGAAGGAGCAATCTGTTGATTCAGGAGTGGGGGCTGCCTGGCACAGGACCTGTTTGTACAGTTGGGGTGGGTGGGAGGGTGGATGAGACTACAGTGGGAGAGGCATATGGGATGATACCCGCAGGCCAGCTGCAGAACGGATGTCCATGATGGTGAGCACAGTCTCAAAAAGGACTGCACTGCCCGCATTTCGGCTGGTGTCTGTGTTAGTGGCCACCTGAGTGGATGGGAGAGAAGATCCATGTGTAAGGGGCTCTGCCCTCTTCTCAGGTCTCTGGAAGGTCTGTCTCCACCATGTCATCCAATCCTCAACCACCTAACAGTTCCCTGAGCCCCTACTATGTGTCAGGAGCTACCACACTGAGACGGTATTCCTGTCCTCATGGAGATCACAGTTGGAAGAGAAACATAGATGTTATTATATGGCCACCGCATGGTGGGTGGTCATGTGAGGGGTGCCGAGGG